AACTGGCTGCATATAAACAAATTTGTTGTTTTTCTCATTTCATATGAAAATGATTATACTGTAATAAATCTCATTACAGAAATAAACTTGGTTTAATATTTTCTCATTTATTGTATTTTCCACCAGTTGCTTCAATCACAATTAGGGATTGCAATTGCTGGATCCAGTGCATTCTTCGGCCTGTTGGATCCAGCACTGCGGATCCACAAATACTCAATTAACTTTCTAAATAATGGTGCAAAAGTCTACGTTATCAGCGTTGTTGCTTTGCTATGTGCACTATCTCGAGCGATAGTGACATTGCTGTTCAGTGCGGCACGTGCTACACCCCCTCTCTACACTGCACCATCTGTCTGCCCTATTATTTCTGCTGGTCTAATTGCCAGTTGACTTTCTGCTCTCGCTAAATAAAGTGACTTCGTGCTAAATAAAATAAGTAACGCCTCTCCTAGTCCTGGTGCATAATTCTAATTTACAGTCAGTTGTGATGTCAATGAATCATGTGACGGAACGATCACAGTTTAAACCTACAGGGAGCTACAGACTCGCGGATTGTCCACAAAAGCTAAGCTATTCCTCCAGGAGATGACCGTCACTAGCTAATAGAAAACCTTTTATTTCAGCTCAATCAATATTTTATCAGAGACAAAATAAGAAAGTTTTCATACTTTTTTTTTGGAGATCGCGTGATGATAGGGAGTATCGTCGTTCTCTCTGCTAAGCCTATCGTGTGTTTAACAGGCAGTCCAGCTGATATTGATGCCAACATCACTCGCGGTCAGCTAGTACTATGCCTTTAAGGAATGGGAATTGGCCCATCAAAATATAAACACCGTTGTTGCCACTGATGGATCGAAAACCACCACACCATGACTGCGGCTTTCATTGACTCAAAAAACAACATCATGGCTCACTTCTCTCTCCAACCTGAGGCCTACACTTGACAACAGAATACGACTTTTAAAAAATCACCAACCAAAGATATGTTTTTGCAAAAATATGTAAAAGAAACAAAGGGCAAAGAATTGAATTTGATTCTTGACTGCTGCACTAAGTGGAACAGTTTCCTCAGCATGCTGGAACGTTTCTACAGTATAAAAGTTTGCATCGATAAAGCATTAATAGACACTGGCTCAGACACTAAATTCTCCGCTGAGTGGTCACTATTCAATGAGTTGATCACCAGTCTTCAGTTGGCTAACTACTAGACTACTACTAATTACTTATTCACTACTTTACTAACACTAATAATTAAATTACTTATAAATAACTACAGACTGATATGTTGAGCCTGTATAAGAAAACTGGTAAGACTGATAGCCACTTAGCCACTGATTATCTGTCCTTACATTATTATAATATAATATATTAATATAAGTTAATTAGTAGAATTACCTTTGCTATNGAATCGATTAATTTTATGGAAGAAAATCTTTCAAACAGCCGTAGTCCGTAAACTTGACACGTGTCGGGTTGTGATTGGAAGGATTCGTAAGAAAGCGGATTCCTAGAGAATGGAACGTATCTCTATCTTATAGGGGGGTCGACTGTACTAATTACTTACTCACTACTTTACTAACGCTAATAATTAAATTACTTATAAATAACTACAGACTGATATGTAGCCTAGAGTCTATATAATAAAACTGGTAAGACTGATAGCCACTTAGCCACTGATTATCCGTCCTTACATTATTATAATATAATATATTAATATAAGTTAATTAGTAGAATTACCTTTGCTATTATTTAACTTAAAGATTACATTATAATTATAATCTAACTAAACATTTAAAGTTAATTATCTCTATCTCAAGTGTTAAACTGAACCAAAGTTAAGTTTACTACCTAAATGTGTAAGAAGTTTTACTAATTTATAGACCAATCTAAATAATAAAAGTTTCTTAAGTAAAGATAATTCACTACTCATCACACTAGATATACTAAAAAATTATGTACCAGAACCATTTATGGTGTGATCACATAAAAATAAGATTGATAAACAAACACTTTCGAACCGCATCTGGGCTCTGCTTCAGGTTCCAAACAGTTTCTAGATAGATGTTCGATATCCATTAAAAATCCGTTTGGTCAACATGTCATTTAAAGTTTGAGTTCAAATCGTAAGTTCAAATGGATTTATACAAATCAAGTTGCGCATGCGCGACCAGTTCGCCCATTCATGTGTGACGGGTGAATTAGAGCGTGTTGTGAATTAACTCTTACCAGGCCAATGACATCTATCTCAAGTATTTGATGCATAAATTTTAAAGAGGAGATGCTGTTGTTGTTGGCCTGGCAAGAGTTAATTCATGACACGGTCTAATTCACCCGTCACACATGAATGGGCGAACTGGTCGCACATGCGCAACTTGATTTGTATAAATCCATTTGAACTTACGATTCAAACTCAAACTTTAAATGACATGTTGACTGAACGGATTTTTTACGGATATCGAACATCTATCTAGAAACTGTTTGGAACCTGAAGCGGAGCCCAGATGGGGTTCAAAAACATTTGTTTATCAATCTATTTCGTGACCACACTGTAAATGGTTCTGGTACGAAATTGTTTCTTAAATATTTTTAAAAAAATTGTTTTATTTCTTAAAAAAAACCCATAAATTTCTGGATAGATAGATAACACTATTTCAACAAAAATACATCTGCACTGCATCCAGCAGGAATGATGTTGGTCCAGCAAAAATCCAGCTGGATTAAAAACACTGCTGGATTGCAATCCTTAATCACAATGTTAACATTACTGATTTTGTGAATTTTTGGGATTTAATGCATTGAAAACTTTATTCCTGTATGAATTTACATTTCAAATAATAATTTTTGAAAAAGAAATGTACTGTATTTCATGGTTGGATGATATTGACAAAAATTGTTTATGTTTCAAATTGTTATGGTAAAGACACATCAAATCTCAACAGGAAACAAATAAGTATCCTAGGTTATTGTTGAAAGAGTTTTAACAGTATTTACCTTTGTGCAAAACATGTCTAGAGATGCCATTTGTACATTACACATTGTATGTACAGTGGTGCCTCATATAACGTACCCCTCGAATAACGGACGCTGCGAATAACGGACTTTCCGTTCTGCAGTTACGTGAGACGAGCAATGTGAACAATTTCTTCGAACAAGTGCGAATGATGTTTCCACTCTTTTGCCGTTGCCAATGACAATCTGCTATTTTTAGGATATATTAGTATTATTAGTATATCTGAAGTAGAAATGTAATGTAATATATGTTGATAATTTAAATAAACATTAAATGTAATGTAATATATCTTGACGATTCAAATAAACGAAATGTAATTGTGTAGATGCCAAGGTGACGGGACGAAAAGAGGTTGTAAAAAACAAACGGAGCGAGAGTAGCTCGTAGAAGTGTTTAGTTATCTTAATTAATAAAGAATTATTCGTATCATATAATCTGGCAAGTTAAGTCATTTATAATGCATCATGGCTTCTAAAAAAAAACAGAAAGGTGATTTCAATTGAAACAAAGCAAGAAATCATCAGGAGTGAAAGTTGACAAAAACTTTCTTGTCGAATGGGGAGAGGTTCAGGAGTTTACCAACACTAATTATACAAATAGAGCTGAGTCCAACAGGATCAATGATCTCTACGATGACACCTTTGTCTGTCATTTCCGACAGGTGTTAAAGAAGAAAGAGAAACAAACCACCTTGGTCATGTTTTTCAAGAAGCCAGCGGGCAAAAAACAAAGGATGGAACAAGATAAGTTGACCCTGCAAGTTCCGGTAGCCTCTTCTGAATCTGACTCCGATTAAAAAACAATAAAAAAAAAAGACCCGCTGCAATGCGTAAAAAGTCTTTATCTGTATGAATGTGTAAAGAAAGTGTTCTTCCACCTCCTCCTCACAACATCTGACTACCCGGCATAATTGGTGTCTGCTCCATTTTCATTTTTTATGGTACAGTACGGTTATTTTATGCTGCGGAACGAATTATATGTTTTAACATGTATTTCTATGGAAAAATGCGTTTTGTATAACAGACGTTTCACTTAACGGACGTGCACCTGGAACGGATTAATTACGTTGTACGAGGCACCACTGTATTACAATGTGTAATGTACAAATGCCATTTGTACATTACATAAAATGAAGACTTTCATGGTATAGTTTATACATTCTGAATGCATACATAAATATATATAATATAGTTATTTTTTTATATTTTGTGCATTCTGACATGTTTTTAAGGATATTTAGATTTTATGTAGTCTTCAATTTAACATTTTTTTTTTTATCAGTTCCTTGAAAGAATGTTATAATTTCTACTGTATTTATTTCTAGTTTCAGATCATGTCAATTCCATGATAGTTTAGTGTTTTGTGTTTTTCTTGGTGTATGTTAATTTTTATGTTGAATAGAATATGCTGTTTTTGCTAACTGCTGATTATGTATTATATATGTGTGTTTGAAAAGTGTCAGAAGTTTAACTTGTGTTTCATTGGTAGCTATATCTAATATCAGTATACAAAAGTGTCTTTTCCATGAGAGCAGCATGCAAATAATCCTGATTATCTAAATGCAATTGGCTGCTTATTACTATAAAAAGTATGTAATGTGTGTATTTTGCTTACTATAACTTTTTATTGGATTGTTATTATGCATCTATAATATTTTTTCTGTAAACAAAAATATGGTTTATGTTAAGCAAAAAAATGAAAATATTCATGAAAATGACACCTTATTGCAAGAGTAGAGGATTTATCATTGAATTTCTAACTTAAAATCATTAAATGAGATATTATGAATTCAAATAGGATAGATTGCCAGCAAATCCAAATATTTGTTTGTGTGTGTGTGTGTATATATAATATATATTATTTCACTATTTAATTTATGTAATTGAAAAACATTCTATGATATCATAGAAAGAAGAGATTAATCTGGTTAAAAGTTATATTTTTAAAAACTTAAAAATAAAATCATTCAGATTTTAATTTTCTTTGTTAGGAGAGCCAGAGCTCCCAAAGTACTATAGTCAGTGAAATAGCCCGTGTACGTCAGCATATAAAAAATTCCTTGCAGTCAGTGAGTAATATTTTCCCCTGCTTTCTTTGTTAAAACATTTACTTTTACTTCAGCTGCTTTGCTTTAATTTCCTGGTGGTTTGTGCTCTATAACTTTTGCTATCTACTCATTACTTTATTCTATTAATCTGCAAATCACTTATTCTTCTCTATATATGTATATAATTTAAGATATATATGTTTATTTAGAAATTGTGATTATAATATATTGAAAAAGTTATTATTTTATAAAGAAAAAACACGTGCAACTTATTCAGAAAACTGTGTAAAATAAACATATGTAAATAAATTTTTTGTGTAAAATTTATTTATTTATGTTTCTTGTTGCATATAATTCTTGTGTTGTTGTTGTGTATATGTCAGTGATAGTATAAGATAACAGTATTGCTCACACAAGAATTTATATTTGAAAAACTTCTCTTACTTTTTTGACAAAACTTCTGTTATATGTTGCACTGTTTCATTTTGTTTGAAGATAATTATGCCTTAGAGAAATATCAACAGAATATTTAATTTTGAAAGGTGAGTCACATTTATGAATTAAAATTCTTAATAAAGGTAAGTGTAATTTTAATTTAATATAAAAAATGAAAATTATTTTCTTTCATAGTTAGTAATGAAATTTTAATATTTGTGATGATGATTTTGAATTTATAATGTACCCATTAAGGATCAGATCATACAAAATTATAAATATTTTAAAATAGTTTTATTGATAAATTATATTTTGTGGATTATTTTACTTAAAATTGTTATATAAACATGCATTATATTTCAGTTTTATCATTGTTACTGATTTATAATTGAATAAATCAATTGTCATGACTGATATTTTTTCATTCTTTCATTTAAGGGCTAAATCTGGAGCTGTATCACAGAACTACTTAATTACCTTATATCTTATATATGTACAAAGTTAATAAATATTAATGATATGGCTCAATCTCATATTATTAATGTCTTCTAAAGATTTCATTTAATATGCAAATGTTTTCATTTAATTATATTTTTATCTTAAATTTACATATATTTAAGTTGAAGGAATATATTTTGAACTACATTCAGACAATATAAAATAACTCTAAAAAGTTTCTATAAAATAAGAAATGGAATTTTGGAACAAAATTCAATGATTGAATAAAAGCATCATACAAAAATTTGTAAATTTAAGAACATAAAGATTATAACTGCTTAAAATGCTTCTTCCTTTTTATAAAATTTTATAAAAAATAAAGACAGACATGCAAATAAAATGAATAGATTTGTACAAAGAACAAGACACTTGCATTATACAAATAAATGAGATCTGCACAGCTGATCTATTAAAAGTAGTAGTAATTATAAATTTGATAGTGTGCTAATCACTGGAAGATCTTTAATAAATAATTATAGATTTCCAAATATGGAAACAGTTTTTAGAAAGCTGAAAGTCTTAATTTAAACAATGCTGTAGTAGAACATATTTTACATTTAAACAAAAGATGAACAGATATTGTGTAAATGCAATTTTTGTATAGTTTTCACATATAATAAAAGTAAAAGTAAAATTTAAAATAAAGTCAGTCATTTGCGTTTTAAGATAACCACCTATTAAATTGACCAAATAGTTTGTTAGAAAATTGTTTATACAGTACAGATATTGTTTAATTATTTCAAGAGCATTTTTACAGAAGCTGTATTTTTAATATAGTAAGACATTATCGTTAGAAAGTGAATTGCATATAAATAATCAGTTCCCATCAGTTGAAATCTTAACATAGGAATAAGCTACAAATTTTTATTTGGCTAATCAATCTTGAAAAGTTGTAACTAAATTGAGACTTAAGTCTAGTTTTTTATTTTACTAACTTTGTTTTTGCTACATTGCGTTATAACTTAGAGGACTTGAAAATTTCCCCAGATATTTATACTGCTTTTAAATCACTGTTATTGAGCTGAATTTTTTCTAACCAATCACAGCATAAAGTTTAAAATTTTGAAACAGTTGTTTTGAAATTTAAATTTGAGTTTTACAGTTGAAATTTGACAGTTAATCAAAAGCATACACATTTTGGAAGAAATACAATAAATCTGTTAGAAATCATTTGACTGTCAATAATAGATAAGAAATAAATTTAAATCTTTTTTTACTTTTGTATTTGTTCCTTGGCAGAAAAGGTGATAAAAATTATAGCCAAATGTGAGAATTTATCACAAAAAATATGATTTTTGAATAGCTTTGTGACAAGTTATCAACATATTTCTGTATTCACAAGAGAATTTTTTAATGAATTGAAAAATGTTAAAGAATATGAGAATAAATGATTAAGTTTTTATTTTGATAATTAACTTATGATTACTGTAAAAACAATAATATTGTGACAGTAAAATAGTCACCATAGTTTTGCATGCATAAGAGCATGCTTTTATATGTGAAAATTGCTTGCTTTTGTAGTTTTGAAACATGTCTTGCATTGCTTATAAGAGCATGCTTTTAAATATACACTTTACTGCTGTGACAATGTAAATATAATGATATAGTGAATATTCACTGACATCTCTATAGTAACCATTTTTGACAAGACTATGTCTTGTTTATAAAATCGTCCTGCCTTCTGGGTAACCAGCTTAGAGGTATGAAGGAGTAAATGACAGAAGTTGCAATTTGGCACAGAGTATTAGATGCCAAAATCATGCGCACATAAAAAAACCAGACTTGTAGGTTCTCAGGAGACCGAGGACTGAGTCAAAATAAAATTCAAAATGGTGATACTCTCTACAAACAGGCACTAGTGCGAGATTTGCACATGCATTGCTTGTTGGAAAGTGGGAAATGCAAACATTGCAAAATTGAATTTTGACAAACCAATCTTTGAAAAATACCCATTTACTTGTCTCGTGTTATTCCCAACATATCTCTGGTCGCAATGTGCTGATCTTGACTGGTTGACCCAAGATATCTCATTTCAGCATTGTAACTTTTTTTTGAAGTAGATGTCGTTAATTTGGAATCAGTGGAGAGACACTCAGATGAAACACATTAAACTGGTTAAGATATCTTCGTTTAATCAATGAATTAATGTACAAGAGTCTTTACATAACAGTAGGACGAACGTCCGCACGTGTCGACAGACGGTAGCCTGAACAAAGGAACAAGTTAAGACAAAGGGTCATAAAACCTTTTGTTTGGTTATTGGGTAGGTCCCTCTAGTGGGTCAAATTGGTTTGCGTCGAGAGTATCGCCAGTAGATAGCACTAGTCATTAAATTTTATATTAAAACTAGCTTCCAAAATATAATTTGTTTTTTTCTACATTTATTAATATATATATATTGTTTGTGCAAAATAAAAAAAATAATAATAATTTCGGACAATACGATAGGCAGGATTATTTTTCAAAAATGGGAAATTTTCGTTAGGCATCGACAAAATTCATCCTAGGGCGACACGCAATGTTGAGAAATTTTGAAATTGGATAGGTTAATTTCACCAAAAATGTATCATGAATGACGTTGTGGTCATGGCTGGCGAAGTTTAAAAGATCGTGCTCAAAACCAGCGATATCAAAGAAGATTGGAGAATGAGACCCCGCCTTGAGTGTCAAAGTGATTACGCTTAGTAGTGAGTCTCTGAGACATAATCTTGTCCCAAATACGGCCTTATTGTTTTAAGGTAAATGCACTGGTAGTGGACACTGCATGATTAGTGGACACTTTGAACTTCAAATATGAGTAATAAGGTTGTAGATGGCTTCACTGTTCAAACATACAAATCATTCAGTAGACAGAACTTCTGTCTACTGAATGATTTAGTAGAATGCACTAGTAGACAGAAGTTCTGTCTACTGGTGTGTTTACCTTACTTGTTAAAAATAAAAAGCCAAAATATAAAAATTTTTTCAATACTATAAAAGTATTTAATTTGTTTTGTTACACTCATATATTCTTACACCAAGTAGGTTACACTTATTACTGAGATTTTAAGTGTTTGAGGATGGCAATGATGCAGTTTCATGTGAGAGACTATGGTTAAGAGGATGAAAAAGGAAATTAGTTGGAAAGAGTCCCTCAACTACATTTAAAAACATTTGTTGTACATTATGTTACATGTATAAGTTAGATAGGTTTGCATTTTGTTTTGTTACAGTCACAGAGAGAGAGTTTAAGATACCTTCAAATTCAAACAATACAAGTATTTTCTATGTTGGAAATGTTGAATATGTTTTAGGTAACAGTTCTCAATGAAATAAAGCTTCGAACTTGGGCAATAGCACACAAACAGAAATGCAGACAAATAGAGAGCTCATAAACACAAATCTTGACAGCTGAAAAATGGGTGAAGGCTTTTCGAAATAGTTAAAATTTGTATTCAAAGGCAAGACTGTCCAATCAGAAATTTTGGTAAAGACTTCCTTAGAGTTAACCATGGGAAATTTGTAATTAATAAGTCAAACAAGGAAGATTTTTACCCCTTTAGGAAGTAGACATATTTCAGTTTTCTGAGATCAAATTTTCTACAATATATGATATGATTGGAAGCTAAAATGTTACAATTTTTCTGATTTATGGTTGCTGTATATTGGATCTTGTGTATGAACATCTCTTTAATCCAAACTTTTGTTTGGTAGATTATCTCACAGCATCATAGAAACATCTTTATTTTTTAAAAAATTGGATTACATTGCAAATGCATTTCAGATTTGCTATTAAAAAAAAATGTTACAATGTTAGGTTTAGCAATATGTAAGAACATGCTCTTTTAGATGCAGAAATAAGGTATCTGTTGTAAAATATCCATCATGTTTAACAGTCATTTATAAATCTTTTAGAAACAATTTTTCTATACTAAATCATTTTTTTTAATAGGAAGCTAAATATATTATAAAAATAAATATAAGGGAATGTTACATTTGACCAGAAAATTAGATTAAATTTAATATATATTTTGGCAAAGACAGATTGTTTTTCAGTTCACTGGCAGGCCTTGGAGTCACTCACTTTTCTCACTTGTATTCACTTTTTT